ACATCCAACAATGTTCCATAAGATTCATTTAGAAGGTCAGAGGTGTATTGTTAAAATTTTAAAATATGCCTTGATTTTGTCGAACAGTATTGGACATATGATAGGAACCTAGTAGAAAGTGAAGACTGCAGACTACGTATACAGGAGCCCATCAGTAGGAGCGTGCAACTACCCCATATTCTTGTCACGGCGTTTTCACAGACCGATCTAATTTTAGTTTGAATTTACCGAGAATTCATGGAAATAATTTGTCACCATGTTAATGATGCAAACTGACAAAGTTACCAGGACTGAGTCCGGGGACTGAGTACCGTCTCTTTATCAGTGGTACTAGAAAATTAGGCATTGTAGGTTAAAAATCCGACGTACGTCTGGTTAAACAAAAGTGTAGCTACAACGCGCGCACCCTTTTTTTTAAATTTATCTTTTAATTTACAAACGGTTTACAATATATATAATAAGTGTCTACTTACTTGACAGTATTCTTTAATTTTTTGTTAACCTATTTACTTCACACACAGTTTAGAACATTAAGGACGCTCGTGCGAAAATTTTCCGGTGGATAGATTTTTTTGAAATTTTTACTGCAGTCAGATAATGAGTTACTTGTGTCAGAAATGCAAAAAAAATTGGGGGTCGCCTACTTCGTTTCAGAGATAAAGCGTGTGGAAAACTACCCTGATTTGGAAAAATTGGCGCACGTAATTCAGCATAGTCTACAGGGGTTTATAGTTAAAAATATCGAAGGTGAGTCAACGGAGGCAAATGATCTTAGTCACATTTTGTAGAAGTGGGTCTGTTGCGTAAATAATTCCAAACGTTACCAACGTTTTCACAAAACTTAACCCTTCAAGAGGCATTTGAAACCGTCGCACAGATAAACGAAGAGCTTAAAAGAAGGAATGCGATGGTGCATTTCGATAAAAATTCAAACTTCTAGTCGATAGATTTTCTTCATTTTTTCGCCAATCGTAGAAAATCGGTAGAGAAAATGATCCATCAAAAGAAAAATAGGGGTCACTGAACGTCCAAGATCGTTAAATCCAGGCAAAGCTATAGCAATGGCCATCTGCCCTACCATTGTTCGTTTTACTGACTTAGCGCGCGCTCGTGCATGACGTGGCGTGTGAATTTGCGTGCGCAGTAAGGATGCGCAGAAACAATTAGCGCGAACGTCCTTAAGTACGTATCTACTTACTTAACACTGTATCTTTTGTTCACTAAGCTACTTCGCTACTTCACATAAATCTATGGGTTAGTAAATGTAAAAAAAAGAAAAGAAAGGTAAAGCAAAAAGACGAAAAATAAAGAGTTACAAAAGAAATCTATATGTAGTCTTGATCTTTGTAATGTTCAAGTTATGAACAGCATTTCCCGTTGTATATTGATTTTTTTTCTCTTAAAAGCGTGGGAAAACTGCATCTTCTGTTATTCTCTCTGTTCAATAATTAAAAATTCAAAATCTGCCAGTGCATGAGGCTCTTCGTTAAAATGAATAGCAACTTCACAAGTACCTCTTTTGGTGATCATAGAAGACTTGTGGTTGCGGAAACGAATTTTAAATTCGTTACTTGTGGAACCAACATATTGCACATTGCATTTCTTGCACGTAACCAAGTAGATGACATTTTTAGACTGAAAATTAAGAATCTGCGTAATAGGATACGTCCTGCTAGCACTAGTGCTAGTAAAGCAATTGGATTCATTTAAATAATTGCGACATAGATCACATCTAGCTGTGCATTTAAAGCAACCCCGCTGATTATCGGGCGTGCAATGTTAACCTTACTTGTGTAACCTTAGTGACGATAATAATAGTCTTGATGACCGTCTGCTCACAAGAGAGGCCTTTTGTTGTGCTCGATTATGCACCCTCACACCTCATGGACTCAACAAAAGGTGCGAGATTAATTCCAGGAATAGGATTCGCTACAATTAACACCATCTTGTTGCTGTATTTTATTTGATTTTTATTTGCTTTTTAGCGGGCGTTTTGCTATTTTTATTATTACGCAATTCTTATGTAACCTTATGTGAAACTTTTTTTATTTCTTTGTTCTCTTTGTAAGCTATTGTTTTGTAACTTATTTAAGGCTTTTTCACTTTTTGTAAATTTTATTCCGAGTATTGATATTCTTAGTGTTGAAGAAGCCCGAATGGGCGAAACGTCCACCTGAATTAAAGACCTCCTACGAGAAAAGTTCGCATCTTCTTCTGTTTATTCAACCTATGATTATTTAAAGAAGAAGCGTTCAGTATCCACTGGATCCTTTTTTTGTATTACTTCAGGTGGACTTCACGTTGAAGCTGTTTGGGCGTGGAAGACTCCTTGCATGCTATAAAAACGACTGAGGATAAGAAGTATTCGTGAAACGAGAGAAATACAATAAAGTCATGAATGCACGAAAAAGAATTGTTTGTATCGTTGATATCAGCCATTAACAAATCTCTATCTTCCTACTGCCATTATTTCTTTGATTTGCCCTTTAACAGGGAGCTTTAGCAACGCCAAAGACGACGCCTAGTCAAAAATGAGTTTATATTTTACCAGCGAAGTTCGCAATTGTCTAGACCTGTTCAGTACGCCAATGGCTCTAAAAACGTGCTCAGGTCAAATATGCAATGACAGCGTGTAATTCCAAATGGAAATACGAAAAATTAGCAATCGTCGTTCGCCTTCCTCAGACTACCTAGAATTTGGTCATTTCTCGTTGTTTTGCAGAGGACCGCAAAGAAATGCACAAAAATTTATAACGCGCGTGCACAGCCATTGTTCTGCTCATTAAACATTTAGATTAGCGGCGTTCCCGTTACAGTCGTCGTCGTGCTTTGCTAAGGCCCGAACCTAACTGATGAGTTAAGTACGGCAGAAGAGCAGCGTTTGAATCAGTTTGGTTCGGCAGGTTAGGTTTGGTGCGGCAAACAACATTAAATTCGGCAGGGTAAGTCGCACTATGCGACGTTGGAGCGGCAGCTGATTCATACGGCGTTCTCCTCATGTGTCGAACCCAATGCATAAATTACTGTAATGTATTTTTTATATCAAGGGACTCGTGCCTGGCTCAAAATTGAGTCGCATGACCAGTCATGCATGAAGCTTGAAATCATCGCTAAAAATAAAGACAACAAAATGTGCCTTCGATTTATGAGAAACGGGACTGTATCAGCGAGTTTCTTTAGCGCAAATTCATTTTTTTCTTTTTCTTCGTGATAATAGCCCAGCTTATGAGATTTCCCTTTAACAAGTCGAATTAAGCGGGAGAAAACCTGCCTAAATACAAACACTGAACCTTGAGTTTGAATTTGCTTCCCTAAATATTGCTATAACAGCGACATGTTGGTCACAGCTTTTCTATTTGGACAGAGTTCTTGAATTCAGAACGCATGTTTTCTCGTAGCCTGCGAATAGGTTCCTGGTGAGCCCGAACGAAGCTCATTCTTCTATTTCGCGCTCGCCGAATGTTTTTTTCCTTCTTCTCCGGGAGCCTGTTCGCAGGCTAATTTTCTCGTCGAAAATTGTTACCACCGACTTCCCGAATTAAGAAGAGAAGACCCTCGTTTCTTTGGGATGTTTACGGGTTATTGATTTATGTTTCAGGGAAAACACAAGATTAAAGCAAATCTAAGAGGAAGAGGAAACAACTGTTGTGTCTCATGCCTGGAAGCGAAAATCAGTGGAGATAAGAAATGAAAACACTCTTGAGATAAAAATGATGCATGAAAAGCGTCTGCCTTAAGCTTCATCTTTGTTTGGTTGGTTGATTTATATCAGTTACAACCCTAGCAAGCCTTTATGTACGCTGTATCTCAATCAGTGTCTCAGCTGGAGTTCGCTCCATGAAGGAAACCAAGAGCTTTGGAGCTACTTACATATTTTACACTCTACGGTACACCAAACGGACGGTTTTTTGGCAAAATTAAAATCGCCCGAAATTTTTAGCACGAAATGTACACTAAACACGTTTGTGTGTCTTTTGGAATAGGGGTGAGGGGGGAATCAATCAAACAAAAGGTAACCAGCCAGTAAGTACAACCTAAGTTAAATAACTAGTTCACATCTTAGGTTTAGGTTAGTCTATGTAAGTGAGCAGCAAGAGATCGACTGGCTAAGATATGGAATAGACATTTCTCAGATCATTAATATTCATCAACTTTACACACAGAAAATCATGACTGTGACGGTGTTTAGATATATGATCTTAATTTGCATAGATTTTTACTATTTTATTTCTCGGTTTTCTCCTTAGTTTTAGTTTCGATTGAGAAGATATATCAAACAGTCAAGAAAGTGTTTGACTACATTTCCAGACACCTCGAAGATCGTCAAAAATACTCCGCTGCGCATCGTATTTTCAACTTCTCTTCCCGGTGTTTAGAAATGGGTTCAAACACAGTCTTTCGTGTTTGATACTTTACTTCAAAGATCAGATTCGTTGAGTACCCCTGGAGTGTGCCCACAAAGATGTTGAAACACAGCTGAAAACATTCATAAAATTTGAAGAATTCGTAACAGCTGTGCTAACACGAGTCGTGGGCGCATGTTTCCACTGACAACTGTTTCAGTTTTCTGTGAGAACAGATGCTGACAGCGCTTGTTATAATATTACGTTGAGTTACGAGGCTACTAAAACATAGGAGACAATATTGCCTGATAACTCAATAAGAAGAATTGTATCGAAACTCTCGAATACTTCTTTTACATTGTTTTGACTTTTAAACGTTAGAAAATATTCTTTAGTAGTTATTCTGGGAGCTGTCTGTTTGTCTACGTTGCTCAAACCACTCGATCTGTCAGTGGAAACTATTATTTTTTCGCTTTCATATTTGCGTTTTATTAAATATAGGTGCAAGGTGTGATTTCAAACAGAACATAGTGCTTTGTTCATTGGGACAAATATTAGTATAACAAGTTTCCCCAGGTGGAAATAGCAATATCTACCGGCACATTCATTTGTTCATGTTTGAATTTCTTGAGTTCCGTTATGTTGACATGCATGGTACAGAAATGTTTAAATAGCGTATGGTGCAGCGCAGTATTTCACCGTGCTTCTTTGGAAACAAAGTGACCATGGCCTTCAAACTGATCTTCGTCTTCGCAGTTATCGCGGTTTTTGCTGTTGATGCCCTGAAACTGACAGCGTGCGGTACGTAAGCATTTTTCCTACTTTTATTAAACGTTTGTATCTAAGGAAGGGCAAATTCATAAAACTCGTACAAAAGTGATAATTTTGTGGTAGGATCGACGAAGCACTGTTTGGATTTTTCTACAAGTAAATAGGAAATCTAAATTAGTTTTCGTATTATTTCACTGAGGTTTCATTGTTAAATATGTTTAAAAGCTCAATTCAGTCCAACCTAATTTGTGCCAAAATATCCAACCATGTTCCATACGATTCATTTAGAAGGTCAGAGGTGTATTGTTAAAATTTTAAAATATGCCTTGATTTTGTCGAACAGTACTGGACATATGATAGGAACCTAGTAGAAAGTGAAGACTGCAGACTACGTATACAGGAGCCCATCAGTAGGAGCGTGCAACTACCCCATATTCTTGTCACGGCGTTTTCACAGACCGATCTAATTTTAGTTTGAATTTACCGAGAATTCATGGAAATAATTTGTCACCATGTTAATGATGCAAACTGACAAAGTTATCCTAACTACTTCACACACAGTTTAGAATATTATGGACGTTCGTGCGAAAATTTTGAACTTTGTAATGTTGTTATTATGAACAGCATTTCCCGTTGTATGTTGATTTTTTTCTCTTAAAAGCGTGGGAAAACTGCATCTTCTGTTATTCTCTAGCTAAAACTAAACAAATGTGAGTTATTCAGTTACCAAGTCAGAAGTCATGCAGGATTGGTACATTTTTAGCCAAGTGCCAGCGAGACCAAGGGCTGATATCAGCCTAATCTCATGTTACTTAAAAAAATCCACTTCGTCTTCTCTTTATAGCGAAGAATAGACTACTGATCAACAGAATGAAACTGACAGGAGGAACTCTTGTGGGCTTCTATCGCGTCAAAGATAAGTTCTTAAGGCCGACGAGATATGAAATCACTGTCTTCGGACGGACATTTAAGGGCAGGTAAGCAAGTGTTGATGGTGAATGCCGGTCTGAGCCTGCTATGCAGTTATTTATATCTCTAATAAATGAACAAACGAACGGACAAACGAACGAAAACAAAGACCGAACAAACGAGCGAACAAACGAACGAACAAACGAATGAACGAATAAATAAATGAAGGAAGGAAGAAAGGAAAGAGAAAAAAGTAGAAAGATTACTAAGTTAAAAATACTCGTTTTAAAACTATTAGAATTTAAAAATTGAACTAGCTAAATTTAAAACTAAAAAACAAACATTATGCCGATAACCGAAAGTATAATGTTATTTTATCGCGAGGCATTTCCTATGCCTTATCAGTTTGAGGGTTGTGTTCTAATCTGGCAAAAATGGAAATCTCCTGTCCAATGAAAAATGGGCGCGTGTCACAATTAAGTACAAAAAGGTTGGTTATCTCGTACACGCGGTCCCCTTCTACTATTGCCATAATCGCAAGAAGAACTTTTCTGTTATTTAGCGTTCAGACGTATTTGTTCTTTCAGGCAAGTGCTCTTTAGTTATTTCGTCTTGTAGTATTTATAGAGTTCATTTTCTTTGATTCCTTATGTGCTTAATTGCGCAGCTCTTTCGACGTGTAGTCTAATATGGGTACACCTCGTGTTTTAATTCTGGGCCATTCGTTTATTCGTCGCTTACATGATTTCATTGAAAGTGACTCTGGGCATTTGGATTTAAAGTTCCAATTGACGGCGTCAGCTCACATAAGTTGGCGTGGAGTTGGGGGACGCACAATCGCTAAAACGGTTAAGTTCGACCTACGTATCCTTCACTCGTTCCGCCCAGATATAGTTATTGTGCAACTTGGCACTAATGATTTAACATCTTGTCCTCCTTTGCAAGTGGGCTCTGCCATGGAGGATTCCGTGCACTTGCTGCGTGATTCGTAAGGTGTAAAGGGTGTATGCGTATGCCAGACTATGCGAAGACTTTCAGCTGTGGTTTTCAACCAAAGAGTCGATCTTTTAACACGATATCAAACTAGTGCCACGCCTTGCGGAGCTCTCGATGTCTTAATGTTTGCAAATGACTCAAGATAACATACTTTTTGGATCAAAATACATCTAATTTAGAATCGTGACTTAAAAATAAAATTAATGCGAAACGTCGGAACATTGTTTCGTTAGTTTTTACTTGCTTGTGAATTAATGGTGGGAGAATTTTGTCACAGTGTCTAAAATGGAAGAAATCAATATTAGCTCTGGCACCAGCGCATTGAATGTAACTGCGATGTACAATCTTCTCTATGGCTTATTTTTTTTTATCTGTCTTTTAATAAGTATTAACGGATGTAATGGACTGAGGAAATGGGTGGCAAGCCCAGTCAATTGCAATCCAGGAGGGTGGCGCTGGTTCAGACTTAAATCGTTCAAAGCTGTAAGTATGGTGACAAAATAGATCTCTGTTTGTTTTTAGAGTTCAAATCCTCCAATATTTGTTATGTAATCGTTTAGTAAATAATAGTTTATTGACGCATTAAATCAAAGAAGAGGACGCTCACTGTTATGAAAGGTAGCGCCTGCCTGTTACCGGGTGAATAGCTGTTATTGGGTATGATTGAGACAGTGCGCGCGAACAACAAAAATCAAAAAAGAAAAATTATAATATATTTCGGGCCACTCTAACTCTAAAATAAACTGACAATTGGAACTTTCATGGCGTTTCTAGCATGAGTAAGCCAGACAGAACCAGCGGTTTGACACGCTGGTAATTTCTTGACGGCGTAGAATGAGAAGCGAAAAGGTCAGTCACTCGTTTGAAAATAAATAGTGCAGTGGAGACCCGGGTTCGATTCCCGGCTGAACACATTTTCACTCATTTCTTTGTTGTTTCGATTTCTGTTCCCATCATACACTACTATTTAATATTTGTCATAAATCACTGTGAATCGCCTTCCGAAGGGAATAGGTTGGTGATCCAAAGATAAAATGAGGCAGTTAGTTGTAATTATTTCCCTGCTCATCCCATTCAATT